GCTTGATTAAGCTCACACAGCTAGAAAGTGGTGGAGACAAGTTTTGAATGGAGGCAGAGGAAACAGCAAGTGCAGTTCATGATTCTGTATCTTTTCTGAATAATATGCTCCTTGATGGCAGAGACTGTGATTCCTTCATCTCTCTACGCCTAGCTCCTGGTACAGTGCCCAGCACGTGGAAGACTCCCATATCAGTAGTAGAGGTGAATCACTTAGGAAGCCTTTAATTTCAATATACCCAACTAAAAGTGTCTTGAACAATAAGAACATGTATTATTTCACTTAATAGTGGGTCTGGAGATTGGTAGTTTTAGGATTGGTTAATTAAATATCTTACCAGCGTCAGAGCTCTGAGTCACCTTTTTTCTGTTCATTTACTCTTATGCTTATGCAATACCTGCCACTGCTCCAGACATCATTAGTACAGGACCCTACTCAGAGAAAAACGGGGCAGGGCTTCTCTTCCCCAACTTTCTTTTTTCTTCATAAACAAAAATATTTCTCAAAAGCCTGTCGAAAACTTTCCTTACACCCCATTAGTCAGAACTGGGTTACACGTCCTCCTTCAAAGAATCACTGGCAAAAGAAAAAAAAAGATTGTTATGACGGGTTGAGACCAATGGATTTTGAACCTCAGACAAAACCAAGACTCAATTAGCAAGGAAGAAGAAGAAATGACTGTAGGCCACCAAAATATCTTGACACCTCAGCATAGTGCCTTTGGCTCTGAAAGTAGACAGAAGGGTTTGAACTCCAGTTTCTCCACTTCATGGCTCTGTGATCTTGCACAAATGACTCAATATCTCTGAACCTTAGCTCCCTCAGTGGTAACATGGGGGATGTTAATATCTATCCTACAGGTTTGTCGGGAGGATTAAATCAACTATTGAATATAAAGCACTTGGTTGACACATATTAAACATTTCCAAGAGATGGTGATTAATTGTGTATTGAATTGTATTACCTCTTCCAATGTGTAAGGGTGGGACTCAATAAGACTGACAGTTAAAAGAAGAAATAGAAGAGGCTCCCATGAATCACACTGTTCCTTTCAAAGGAGTTATGGGTACAAGTGCATGCCTGAACGTAAACATTCATTCATCTATCAGACCTTCTGTGTGCACTGGATAAGGACTCTTTGTTTGAGTAAAAAATACAGAAATGAAGCAGGTCTGGTCTCTGTCCTTGAAGAGTTCACAAATTAGTCAGAACTGCATTCAGAGTCAATGTGTCAGTGGTGGAGTTGTGCTGCTCAGCCCTCCTTCCAGGAAGGAACTTGCTGATCAGTTGCACAGAATGCACAGTGCACCTGCAGTGCTTCTAAGACTTGCTTCAACTTTCGAGCCAAGACCATGACCTTCCAGGGAAGCCCTAGCCATGAATATGCATGGCCATTTCTGCCTCATGGCAATTTCTGAATGGGAAATCTTTACACTGCAGCCCTCGGTCTTCTCAGAGTGGCACCATGACTCTTCCTACCTTCTGCCTTTTCTTTCACAGATAGCAGACTGGCATCATGGTCTGAAGGCTTAGCCTCTACTCCTGCTCCCACTTCTTTTTTCCATAGGCATCACTCCCCATAACTCTCTTGTACTTCTAATTCCATCTTGACATCCCCAAGGGTCTAACTGATGCATTCTACTTTTTACATCAACCGATTCTCATTGTGAGCCCCTGCCGAGCTGAGATCCGGGTAACTTCCGCTTGGTTCCAAATGCTAAATCCAGTTTCAAAGGGCAGAGTTCTGCTCAGTGAGGATATTTTCAGAAGAGCATGCCTGAATCTCCAGAGGCCATCCTTGAGACAGGACCAGATTTGGAAGGAGTAACAAAGTGATTAAGGATGCAGAAATCAGTCCTGGGAAGAAGGTTTTTCCCACTTTTGGTTTCTACAAGGAGAAATTTTCCCCTGAGCATGTCCCCAGCTTTTCTCTGTCCCTAGGCAAGTGGTAGGGCTTACCTGATATATTAATTTGGGAAGAATAACTAGGTGCGCGTGCCTGTGCGTGCGTGCGTGTGCGTGTGTGTGTGCGTGCGCACACACGCATTTGACTCAACTTCAACTTTGCTCCTCATGGCTCAAGGGTCCTCCGTGCTTCTCTGGGTTTTCTGTCCCTATGGAAGAGAGCAAGGCCCATGTCTTGGTAGATCAGGGTAATAAAAAATTCTGGTTACCCCAATTTCTATTCCTCTTCTCTCTATAATGATAGAAACCCTAATTATTAGTCAGGTAAATGTTCATCCAGCTAATGACCACACTTCCCAATCTCTTTTGCAGATGTGGCCCTTGGTGGACACATCACTAAGTTCTGGCCAATGGGATGACAGCAGAAGTGAAATGTATCATTTCAACTTTCAGCTCTCATATTGTTCCCTTAGTGGGAAACAGGGTGCCCATTGATTTCCTCCTGCTGGATGAACTGTGGACATTTTACCTGCGCTGGAGCAGCCATCTGGAACCACTAGGTGGAAGCTGCAAGTGGAGGGTGACAGAGTTATAAGTCAAGGGAGCCTGGGTCCCTGAGCTGCCTCTTTTGGCTCTTATGAAAGAGGGAAATAAATGCTTGTTTTATTTAGGACCTTGGTATTTTGGGTTTCCCTGAGATGGCATCTGAGCATATACCTTAACCAAAGCCACCTAATTCTGGGGTTCAGCTAGCAGGTCCACTTGCATCTCACATTATGCTACAGCCTTCAACTTTTCAACTCTACTAGAAATAAATGTAGTATTGTGGCTTCTATTTCTTTGTTTTATTGTTTAAATTCTTTAGAACCCAAATGGGGTGGAGGGGTGTTATTAGATATAAGACGCATTTGCATGGGGTTGGTTAAAAACCCCACATGGATTTTTAATGTAGCACCTCAGGAGTCATTCTCGAGGGCAGAAACCCGAAGGCGGGGATCACAAGGTTGTTGATTTTTAATCTCTCGGGACTCAGAGTGGAGGGCTGCTGTGTTGCAGAGACCGGGAGGCCCAGTTGTGTCCTGATTCCAGAGCTGGGGCCTGGTGAGAGTGCCTTGACACTGGGAGCAAGTGATAGATGCAGGTTCTGGTGCTGGCTGCCCCCCACAGGCATTCTGGAGGTGGGAAGCTGAGGCTGGAGCAGCCTGAGATGCAGGAGGAAGAGAGAGGGTGGCTGGGGGCAGCCTGCTCACCCACTGTTTGGTGGGACAAGGACGTATGAGCTTCCCATGGACCGGTTGGCCCCATGAAAGGGAACTGGGTTCCAGTCATCATGAAAGCATCCCTACTTCCAGCGCAGTGAGAGGTAGCGGGGTGACCCTTCAGGGGCCCACACAGAGGGGCATGTTGCCCACATCAGGAAATATGCATTGCGAAAATCCTGCATTCACATGCTGGCCACACAGAGGGCATCGGTGGCCATGCTGCGCGAGCATCAGTGAAATAGACCTTAGTTTTTTTTCTCCTAATTTTCTCTTTCTGCTCTAACTCTGAAGGACCAAGCAACAGGTGGGAGCAGGGGAGAAATGGACAGTGCCTCCTTTTCCAAGCCTGAGCCAGGCCCAAGCTGAGCATAGGGCGGAAGCTTTGAGCTGGATGTAAAGATGGACTGGTCCCTTAAATTCAGAAAGTGAAGGATGATTGTCAAAATGAGATTTGTCAGCATGAGCATCAGGAAAGCAATGGGATTTGTAGGGTTATTTTAAAGAGCAAAGATGGAACCATCAGAGCCTGTGTGTGAAGGCAGAGAACGTTTCAGCTGAGTTAGCCATGCTGTGGCCACTGGAAGCTGCAAGGAGAGGGTTGTGGCACAAGGAAGAAAGAGCTCAGAATAAGCAGAGTTGGACCACCAAGAACACCTGCTGAAGAGTTCCAGCAAAGACTTTGAAGTCCCTTTTCACTCTGATGCCTGTAGAGGGCCTTGAAAGAGAGAGCCTTTGAAGCCTACGTGACAAGGAGCTCCCTCCCAAGCAGCTTAATCTATTTTTGGACATCACATTAGAAAGTCTTCCTAAACATCTCCCTAGTTTGGTAACAGAACAAGCCCACTCCCTTTGGATATTGGAACACGGAGAACAAGTCTTCCCAAGGTCATCCCTTCTCAGGAAGGACATGGCCTCAGCCCCTCTCTCCTCCTCCACCGTAGGTGAAGCAGCAGTCTTGTAGAGTCAATGCTGCGTGTTTGTGCTCTTTTAAACATTTATTTTGAGTGTCAAGATGTAAGTGCCATGACAGATGGTTAACCATCCCCTCCCCTTCAAATGGCCCAAGGGATTA